GTTATTTTCATTACATTGGATGCTACTACTGAGAGATGTGATAAAGGAATTTATGAGCCAGCCAGGGGTTGCAAAGAGAAGGTGTGACTGCCAGGGAGCGATTTTGTTTGTGGTGTTCTTGAGGACTCTTCTTGCTTTTTTCTTCTTTGGGGAATTACTTATCAGCTACTGTTTCATAATTGAAAAGCAACTATCCTCGACACTTTCATCGCGGGAGCTGTCTTTAACTGTAAAGGCAATTTCCGCGACATAGTGAACAAGTTCAATGCCCCGGCGCATTCAGTTGCCAGGTCCGCATTCGCGAAAAGGGTACCACTCTCGTCACACGAAAGTGCGAGATAAAGACGTCAGAAATGCTTGGCCAGCATCCTTGTTGCCCATATGGCCTACACACCGACGACTTACACCGTTAATAACCGCGCATGTTACCTGCAGCGTCGTACGACGATTTTATGTGCTCGTCGCGGGAACTGCTAGCATAGATTTCCATCTGCTCACGAGTCGTACTGCTTCCCCTGAATACATTTTTTTAGGAATAAGGGCGACTAAGAGCAATCCACTTCACAAAAGATGATGTATGTTGGCGCTGCAAGTTGGCATGAAATGAGCTGTTCTGGGGAACTCGTCCGGCCAACGGGACCTTGTTCAGCGTTCCCGGCGCCATTGCTTTCGCTGTTTTCTCCTCTACGAGCAAGTCATTGAACACCTACCCTTCCATTGTTGAGCCCCACTACCAACGACTCCCAATGTTGCTTCCGGTGTTTTTGCAAAAGTTGCGTATTAGACCATAAAGATTGAAGGAATAGGCCATGTTTTCGAATAAGACGTAATTTTCATAGGCTAACTCATTCGTTTCCAGAAGTCATTCACACATTATATCAGCGGATCTTTAGCCAAGTAAATCCAGAAAAGTATCTGCAGATGTTCCCAGTTCCCATTATATCAAAATTTGGAAGCAGTATAATGCCTACAAAACTGCATGATGTCCTGAAGAAAACCCATGTCTTTTACTTCCATGAAATCCCTAAAATCGGGGTTCTATTTCGATACAAATGGAGTATTTCTCCCCCGTCGCGTCTGAAATGCGCCAATTCCCGCTTAAAGTTAAAGGACGTAGGCGCAGTGCAAGGTCAGGCTCTTGAGCGGAAATCGCATCGACAGCCCACAGTACGCCGTCCTCAGTTCTTGGGAGCGGCCTATGCGTTTTCTTTTTAAAATTTTTTTCTTTACAACGTTTTAAGTTGGGAGAGATTGCTCTGTGAGTACTGTAATATAGAAAAATTGAACCTCTCTTGCTATAGTCGGACTGTGGGCCATTTCGGTCATTTTTATTGGCGATGCTCGTCGTGATGTTGTTTTTTGCCATCACTGGCCCAATTTCGATTTCTTCTCCGCGTGTTTAAATGGTTAATGCATTAAGATTGCCGGAATATTGTTTTCTGTATTTTTCACATGAACTCCTTGATTTCAGTCTCAACTGGGTGCACAAAATGCCTGAGATCATAGGTAAGTTAATGAAGCCCGATGGGTCAGTCACGACCGAATTAGAGAAGCAAGTTTCACAAGCTTTGGTTGATTTGGAAAGCAGTCAAGACATCAAGTCTCAGCTTCGTGAACTTTACATCGTTGGAGTTCGGGTTAGTTTTTTTCCTGCTAGCTTCTGTCGTTTAAAGAATTTCAGGCGGATAGGAACCATTTTGTGCTTTTTGCACTTGGTGGGCCGATAAGCCGCCAAAATCAATGATTAGGGAGCTTCTATGTTCTTCGCTTCTTGCTGGAGTTCATCAGCCTCCTTTTTTGGACATAATCTCGTTTGATAATATTTTTTATTGTACAGGTTTATTTAAGAAAAGGCATGATAAGGATTCCGTAATATTCATGAGCGCTAGGCCGCTTTAATTTCCTTGCGACAGCGAAGAACTGACAAATTGAAGGAATGTGGAATCGATGAAAAATTAAATGCATATCGATCTATTCCCGCAATTCAATAACTCTCCAACTATCAAGTCTTCTACTCATCAGATCGATATGAATTGGCAGCGTGACTTAGATACCCGGGTGAGCGTGGCCACAGGGAGGCAAGGCTTCGAAATGGACCGGTGTTTCCCAAATTTGTGCTGGCTCATCGATCTTAGAGTGGAGCATCCCGTTTACAAGGTAAACGTTCCTATTGTCTTCAAGGTGGGCTTAATGTTGATTTCATGATCATACGTAAGACCTGATAACCACTTTTTCGCCTCTGCCTAATGTATACCTTTGCAAAAAGCATAAATCATCTAGGTTAATTCTTCTCTCGGAATTCTTAGTTAAGCTGTAGAACACAGCTGTCTTATATAAGAAGGAAATTTATCGTTCCAAGCTTCAGAAGATTAGCGCTGAAATAAGTATATCCGTCCACCGTGCTCAAGCCTCGCTATTTTGGCCACGGCCACCGGGCATCTAAGTACACGCCGCGATATGAAATTTACTCTTGTCTTCACTTTTGCAAGGCGCTCTCAATCAGTTCTTCAATTGCTTACTGTCAGCGCATGAACGCATTCGGGGACCGAACTTGATGAAGTGGCCTGGGCGCGATAACACAACTGAATTGTGACTTAAAATGACTTCATCAGAGTTGCCTCTCTTTGAGGAGGTGGTGTCGTCAAAACGAGTGTCTGGTCCTTTCTTGAGAACACCGAGTCAGCTTAATCACTCAAACTAGTTAAAAAAATTACTTTAGAATTCCGATTGTTCGATGTTGATTTCTGCTTCGCTTACAAAACTTGTTTCCACTACTGCTTTTGTCAAGTTTTCTAGCAGCAGTTTTCGTTTTGGTTATTTGCGCAGAATTCGGTGCATTACATTCGCTTTATAACCGATCTCATAAATTATCTGGCTTTGTGGTTCCAAATTGAATGTAGGTTAATACTTTTAGTGCTACCCCCCATTCTAATATGTCATTATGTAAACTTCGATTGAATTTTGGTCAGAACTTCGAAAACTGGGGGCAGTAGAGGGTGAACGGACCCCAGTTTTCCTTTGTTGATCACCACCTTTTCTCAGCGCTTTATGTTCCCGATGATTGCGTTAATTTCAGGAAATTGAAATCGGAAACAAATCAGTGATTGTTGTATATGTTCCCGTTCCACAACTGAAGCAGTTCCACAAAGTGCAAGTGCGACTCGTTCGTGAGCTTGAGAAGAAGTTCGGAGGAAAACATGTGCTGTTTCTGGCCAAGGTTTGTTGAAAGAATTGTTGAAATATTTCCCAATTTTTCAAACTTATACGACCACTTGCGACCTTTTCCTTGTTCTTTACTTTGACAATTTCTATTTGAAAACACGGTGCTCATATATGCACATGTGCCGTCATTAACGGTTGCAGTGAAGCTCAACAATGTCGGAAATTTGTCGAGTCTTTTTTTTTTCAACATAGGCGTGGACTCTAATTAAGAACCTTGTGTAACAATCTTTTTTGCACTAATGTAATTCGGAGTATTTTGTTGCATTAGTTGCCAGTGCTAATCTTGTAAAACAAGGAGGTTCTTCGATAGTACGAAGTTTTGCTGGCTCAGTTTTTACGCAGTTTTCTCTAGCTTCTATAAATGTTGGGCGGCATTAGTGCTGCAAAATGAAATGAAAACATTTTGAGTCAAAGAATGCTGCTTTTGTAGGGGCTTCCGGGAGGGGGGGGGGGTTGAGGGGCATGGAGCTTCTATGAGAACGAGCTGTATTCTCGTGGGGAGCAATAAGGGATGATATCTTATTCGAAGCTGTGCAGCGCTTTATAGCGAAAGCGATTTTTTTCCAGTTGCTTCAGCTGATATTTCACCATTTTGGGATAGTGCCATTATTGTCGTCCATTAATTAGCCCTGTCTTAGCTCCTACCTTTGTTGAATTCCTTCTGAGTTCCTACCACGCTGGGTTTGTCTTTTTCTGTATTCATGAAGGAGTTCTGCTGAGATTTCACATATCGGATGTTTTTTAGTTTCAATTTCTCCTCATATTAGTGAACGCGGAACCTTTTTCTTATTTTTTGGGACCTGCTCTGCTTTTTGCTTGTTGGATAGGAGAGCGATCATTTCGAGGAAGAGGTCTCTTCGGTTAATCAAGTTGTCGTCAGCATTTTGCAGACTGTTTTGGGCTTCATTGGTAGGTCGAGTTTCGCGTTTGAGGCGTTCAGAGTGAATGCAGATGTAGTAGGTGCTGTACAGGAAACATTATCTTTGTGGAGATACAAAAGGGGGTCGTATTTGACCGCTGGAAGGGGGTCTTATTTCATGGTAGGAACTTTTTTGATTGCTGATTCTGTCCCACTACGTCAGCTTGCTACATTGCTGGGAGCGTCCTATGGGCGGGGGGGTGGGTGGGAGATGCGGAAAAGTGCAAT